GGAAAATATATATATATATATATATAATTGATTTATATATATATATGAATCAATTGATAAAAATTATATTTTATAGTTAAATACTTTTTTTTCTTCTCCCTTCTTATTCTAGTATTATCATTAATGAGAAGTTAATTAATGCAAAATATATTGTCTATTATTTTTTTAAACATACAATATATTCGTCATCGATTTGTATATCTTGTGTAATGTATACATTGATTTGTATAATGTATTACTAATCAATTTGTGTATTTAAATAAATATACTTTCCAACCATTCCAAATGATTAGTAAGCAAATCTTCCTGCATCTCTCTTTTGCTTTCAAATGCTAATATCAATTTGTAGCAATCATCACCGATGTTTAATTATTGATAACAATCACACTATTTAGTTATTGATAGCGATCACCCAATGTTTTATTATTGATGATAATCTCGCGGTATTTAATTGCATAGGATGATTACATAACGAAGATATGTTGCATATAAATCATCAACGGCGATCTTCCGCTGTTCGATTGAATAAAACAAGATCATATGGGGGAATATATACATGCGCAAATAAAGCGCAAATGAATGTAAATATAAATAAATAAATATATATATATAAATATAGTATATAATTGAAGTATAGAAATCGGTTTATAAATGTAATACTTTAAAAGAACTTATTACTAAGTAAAAATCTAAAAGTTAGATTAGAAAAAATGTTTACAGTATTAATTGATTCATTCAAATTAATCCATTTCATATACACATACTGTATGCATACTACTGTATGCATACTATATATACAAAAATTTAATTTTATTTTTACTTATTAAATAAATTTTTATAAAGTATTACATTTAAAATATTTTACATTTTAATAATATTACTAATTTTTTCATTCCCTTAATTTATTCATTTTGAAGGAAAAAAAAGTGTTAAATTTGTATTGTTCATTTTAATAAACTATGATTGAATTTTGATTTAAATTATATCATTTGACCTTAATCATTCTTGAATATATTTTCTTTTGACAATAGTATTAAATGGGAATTAAAATAGGAAATGGATTTTATTCCATATCGATTTCCTATGCATATCACTCTAGCTCTATAATGAAAAATAATAGCATTAAATAGGAATTAAAAGAGGAAATGGATCTTATTCCGTATCGATTTCACATGCATATCATTATAGCTCTGTAATGAAAGAAAATAGTATTAAATAGGAATTGAAATAGGAAATGGATTCCATTTCGTGTCGATTTCATCTGCATATATCATCATAGCTCTGTAATGAAAGAGATTCAAAAACGGAAAGAATCCAATATGAAATAATCAATTTCACTTCGTCTTAAAATGGATCGTCTTTTTTTTTTTTAAACTGAATTAAAATTACGAAACAAATGACATTTTTAAAATTCCTAAATAAAACGATTTTAAAATAGGTTTTTTTTTCCCTTTATTTCTTCCTAACAAAAATTCTAATAGCAATTTTTTGCGAAGGAAATATCTTTTTTTGATATTATTATTTGATATGCTATAAATGATTTATGAGAGTTTTAATCCATTCTTTTAATTTCCTGTAAATGAAATTCAAATTTTAATTTTAGGTTACAAGAAAAATCTTAGAACAAATATATTCAGTTTTAAACTTTGCTTTCTTTTTATTTTAAATAAATATCTCAATTTACTTTTTTTCGTTTCACGATTTGACAAAATATGTGTAACAAGTGGTAAATGAGAGAGAGAGAGAGAGAGAGAGAGAGAGAGAGGGAGGAAGAAAGAAATCTAGTGCAAACTGTATTGATAAAACATTAACTAACGACAGGAAGAATGACAATGAGGTTGATGATGATGATGATGATGATGATGATGATGATGATACGATTGATATTTAGCACAGATCGGGAATGGAACTTGTTCTTGTCCCACTTATTCATCAAATTTATATTCATACATTTTTTTTTACCTTCATCCCTCTTTTCTTCTACTTTTCTCTCTCTCTCTCGCTCTCCCTTTCATTCATTTTTACCTTTCTATTCTTTTTTTTCCTTTAAAAAGGTTAATTTAAAAAAAATGCTAATATTAGAACTTTCTTATCATAACATATATCACTTATCATTTAAGCCATCAACAGTAATGATTGATTTTCATTCATTCTTCTGCATCAAATATTATTGAATTTATTGATTGTGCCATGCCTTTTTTCCGGATTATATTTTTTTTTTAAATCGGTAATTCATTTTCCACATCAGTTATTATTAAATTTATTGATTGTGCCATTCCTTTTTTCCGGATTATATTTTTTATTTTAAATCGGAATTTTAATTGCATTATTTGTTCAAATAAGAATACGTCTATGTTTCTTTTAATCTTTCGTTCTTTTTCTTTTTTTGGCTGTCATTTAATTTTTCCATATTTTATTTCGCTAAATGTATAATTTCTCTAAAATATTTGTTATGTTAATTTAATTTTTTAATTTTAGTATTTTTGAATTTATTATTGGAATTGATATTAACTGAAATAAACAAAATCACATTTTCTGGCAATGTTATTTTAACAAATTATTATTATTATTATCGTAACGATTATGGCCAAATGTTTGTTCTTTTTCTTTTATTAAATAAATTTAATTTTTTTGCATTTATATAGAATATTTGAATATGAGAGATAAACAATTTGTTTGAGAGAACAATTGGAATTATAAGATAATTAACATTTTTAAATTGTATGAATTAAATTATTAAAGAAAATGAAATAATAATATTACCAATTAATAATGTTAATTAATAATGGTAATAATAATAATGATAATAATATTAATAATATTAATTTAATAATGGTAACAATAATGATAATAATATTAATAATAATAATAAATAATGATAGTAATTTATAATAATAATAGAAACAATAATGATGATAATAATAATAACAATTATGGTGATGATGATAATAGTAATAATAACAGTAATAATAATTAATAATAATAATGTTAATAATAATATTAATAATGATAATAATAATAATAAAGATTAATGATAATTGATAGTATAACATTGCAGATGGCTTTAAATGGTGGCATTTTTTTAATCGAACGAAATCAATGAAACCAAACGATAGGAATAATCGAGAAGAGGAATGTCGTAATAATTTGATTGAATCATTTGTAGAACATCATTTAACGGTCGAACAAATTAAAGATATTTATATTGATTCCAATATTCATTCAGAATATCCGGAACAAAGTGATGGATTAAGCTCCATTGAAGCACGGTAAGGATGAAAAATTGCATTTGTTATAATTGTGATTTCATGGCTGAAATAATAAGCCTTATTTTTTAATTATCATAAATTTTAAGTGACACTCCTTTTTGTCTTTCAAAACAATAAAGGATAAGGAAGGAAAAAATAATTATTGATTAATTATAAATAATTTAAAATATCGCCTAATGATAAACTTATTAAGTAATTATATTTTAATTGAGAAATATTTTAATAATCAAAAATTAATTTTAGTTGCTTTTTATTATAATTTAGAAAAATTAAGTAATAATAGTTATAATAATTATTTTTAGTTTATTTTTTATTTTTTTAGTTATTTTATAAATCAAAAATTATTTTAATTATTTTTATTACAATATGGAAAATTATAGTTATAATAGTTATATTATGTGGAATATTTATCATTTCTTTTTATTATTAGAAATAGGTTAAAAAATTTTGAATTACTTTTTTAGCTTTTTTTCTCTCTTCTTATTTATTATTATTATTTTTTAGTTTATATTATATATTTTAAAAATTCTGATATTTAATCTTTTGCATATATTAAAATATCTGAATGACATGTTAAGGATGATAGCTAAATTGTTATCGTTATCATTCAGGCTTAAATTAGTAAATTAAAATCGTTATCATTTAGACCTAAATTATGTTGTCGTTATCATTTAAACATAAATTAGTGAATTGTTATCGTTGTCATTTAGAGTTAAATTATGTTATCGTTATCATTTAAGCTTAAATTATGCTATCATCATCATTTTGACTTAAATTAGTAAATTGTTATCGTTATCATTTAGATTTAAACTAGTAAATCGTTATCATTATCATTTAGTTTTAAATCAGTAAATTGTTATCGCTATCATTTAAACTTAAATAAGTTAATCGCTATCGTTATCATTTAGACTTAAACTATCTTATCGTTATCATCTAGACATAAATTAGTAAATTGCTATCGTTATCATTTAGACTTAAATTAGTGTTACATTCTCTTTTCCTCTCCCATTTCAATTATTTATGAAATGAATGCGATAATACGATTAATTATTAAATGATTTATAGTGTCATTTTTGATGATACATTGAAAAAATGACGAAAATGACGATAAATCATTTTGCAACAAAGTTAAAATAGTAATAATAAAGCTCTTGTTTTTTTTTATAAATTAATCCTATCATTTAAATCATGCAAATTTAAGTAAACGTTTACGTGATGGTGGCGCTAATATCATCGAATGTTCACGTAAAATCAACAACGTGAAATTATTTTTACGTCAATTTTTGTATCGATTATGGTTGTTACTTATTGGTATGTGATAATTACACAGAGTAATTATTTATTTATTTAATTAACAAATTAAAATTTTTGCAGAGATTCAAAAAGTTTTATAATTTTTAATACAGTTAAAAATAATATGAACAATTTCTTAATTTATTATTTTTCGGAAAAAATTTTTTGTTTACTTTTTGTTTATCTTTTATTATTTATATGATATTAATTTTTATTTTACATTATTAACTTTTATTATTTATATGATAATGATTTTTCATTTATATAATTAACTTTTATTATTTATATGATAATGATTTTTCATTTACATAATTAACTTTTATCATTAATATTTGATTATTAATAATTTACTTACCTAATTTATTCAATTTTATTTTTGTCAACATATTATGATTTGTAATAAATGATTTATAACATATCATAATTTATGCAATGATTTATGAAATTTGCATATTGGTAGCTTTTTTGTACATTCAAAAAATATTAGTCACAGCTTACATCTTTTCAATACTTTACAATATTAGTATTACTATTATCATTATTGATATTATCACTGAATAGCGATTTTATTTATTTACTGATAGCCTTTTTGTGAGTTATCTTAGCTTATAGTCATATTATCATTTCGATATTAATATATTAGTATTCTATTACTACTACTAGTATTTAATTAGTATTACCAATATTAGTAATTAGTTCTTTCGGTACCAATATTTTTTTGCTATTTTGTTAAAAAGTAATTTTGTTCCATAGCATTAAATAATAGTGAATTAATTTGCAATACTAAAATAATAATTAATTAATTAATTTCAGGTGCTGCAATTCTTAGTTTGGCAACTTATATAATTCATTTAATGCATGGTAATAATGAACCCATTAATCTTTATTGTACAATTATTCTTATTTCAATCGTCATTCTGATGTGTTTTGTAACATTTTATCAAGAAAAACAAACACTTCGAGTAAGTTATTTTACTGAATTAATTAATTCTTTTATAGTAATTTATAATTATTTAATTATTGATTAATTAATTTATTTAGTATTTTAATGACAATTTAATAAGTAATAAATGGGCATAAATGTAACTAAGGTAAGTATAATCAAATATTAATTAATTGCTATTATTTTCGTTATATTATAATAGTTTAATAATGCATACAATTTTTTATTAATTGTTATCATTTTCATTCTACTTTATGCTGCCAGTAGTATGACATTAAAATAGTATAATTCCATATTATCATTATATTTCATTAAAATATTTTATAGTTTATTTTAAAAGTTTTATTGAATTAATTTTATATTTTATAGTTTATTGAAATATGGGAATAAATTCTAAAAATTTAAAATTTCTTTAAAATTAAGGTTACAAGTGATTTAAAAGCAATTCTTCCAACATCTTGCATTGTTATCCGTGATAGTAAAAAGCAACAGATACGAGAAGAGGAGTTAGTTACCGGTGATTTGGTTATAATAACCGCTGGTGCTATTGTACCTGCTGATATGCGCATTTTGCAATCAAATGGTTTAATGATTGAAACATCAGCTGTAACAGGTTTACCTGATCTTTGCTTCTGGTATCATTAATAGTATTCTATTATTACGAAACATTTTTTTTTTCCACGAATTCAAATGAAATAATTGTATCGCTGACAATTATTTGTCAACTCTGATAATTACATCAATTTTACAATAATGCGTAGAAAAGAATTTAATATTATAAACCGGATTCGAACTATTATTCGAAACGTTAATTTAGGTTAATTTAAAATGTTACTCAATATTATGCATCAATTAATATTCTAGTTTATTCTAGATTTACACTTGAACTTTAATATAAATTTAAATCTATACAGATTTTGTAAATTTAACATAGATCAAGTATTTAATTTAATTTATTAATTTAAGTATAGTGTAAATGACACTAATTCAGAATAATAGAATATTAATTAATATGTTGAATTGTAAGATTAAATTATTGATCTAAACTGTTAATCTAATTCATACCAAAAGTTTGTTGGAATATAATTTTTCTTTTCTATCCTTATCCCTATTATATAACAATTATTTTGCTGCTAAATAATTTGCTTACAATGTAAAATTGATTAAGTATGATTAGGCATACTTTGTTATATTCTTTTTTCTTGAATATATTTAATTTCCAGGTGATAAGGAAATTTATGATTATACACATGAAGTTGTTACTGCAACATATTCATCAGTATTTGAAGCACGAAATGTTGCATTTAAAGGATCATTTTGTGTTGAAGGTGATGGAATAGGAATTGTTGTGCGAACTGGAAAATATACGGTAATTTAGATTTTTCTCTTTTCTTCTTCCTTACTACTGAAAAATTTTTAATTTCATAATAAATAATTTTTCTTTTTAACTTCTATTTTAAATTAAATAAATTTATTCGTTATATTCTGCTTCTTTTGTTTTAAGGTTCTTGGCTATATTATAAATATTCATCAACAGGTGTGCAGCACACGAAGCAAATTAAAAACGGAAATTGATGAATTTGTCAATTTCATATCAATTTTAGCTTTAATTATGGCAACAGCATTCTTTTTGTTTGGTAGTATCAGAAATAAGTTTGTCGTTTTTTTTTTTTTTAATTTTCAAATTTCTTTAATAGAATTTACGAATTCAAATATAAGAGACTAAAAAAATGTTTTATTAAACAATGCTATTAATTAATTTGTTAAGCTAAAATAATAAGTTATATTTTTTGCTTTGTAAAAATTTTATCAGTAAGAAATTATTTGGATCAAAAAATTGCAAAATAAAGATTAATCATATGTGAGAATCGAATAATGAGTACATGGAATTTTAATTTTAGGTATTGAATATGAAATTTCAATTTCGTTTTTAGGCGTCTTTTATCATCAGTTATTTGAAATCATTAATTTTATTTTTAGATATTAAATTTATTTGGCTAGATGATAATAACATAATCACTGATAATAAACCTTTTTTGTAATGTATTTTCGTTTTTTCTTATTTTAGCTTTCAAAATGTTTTGGATCATTTTATTATTGGTTTCTTGATTATCATCGTAGCAAACGTACCACAAGGTTTACCAGCAATGGTTATATCACAATTGGCAATTATTGGTAGACGATTAGCTAGTAAGAATGTTTATGTAAAAAAATTGGATATTATTAATGAGCTTGGTGCTACAACTGTAGTTGCAACAGACAAAACTGGTACTCTTACACAGAATGTGATGGTACTCACAGATTTATGGTACAGTCGAAAACATCAAACAAGTTTGTTCTTTTTTATAATGAAAAAATTATTTCATCAAATTTTGATTTTCTTCTCAAAATCTAAAAATAAAAGAATTTGCAAAAAAAATTCGCTCCTGAAAAATTATTACGGTAAGATTTATTACGGTAAGATTACGGTAAAAATTGTAATACGGTAAGAAATTTTTCAAGTTCAAATTTTTAAAAGTTCTATTTAATGATAAAATACTAAGTGATAATTTTTGGGAATCTTTTCAATCATTCAAAATTTGCATAAGAAAAAAATCATTCGATTGATTTTTAGTATATTTCAGGTTATGACTATAATATATTTCAGGTTATGATTATTTGCAATAATGAATTCAAATTCTTATTTATAACAATTTAAATGAGTTAATGTATGAAGTTAATTTTCTTAATATTTTATTTCTAACTTCTATAGTTATATATAAGTTGATATAAACAAAATTTACTATTATTTATTTTTTCAAAAAATTATCATAACTATTCGATTATTCATACTTTTCATATATATTTCAGATCATAATTATATGAATAATCAATCTGTTCTTAATGTAAATTATCCAAAACCGGTATATGATGATCAACCGTTATCGGATATGTTTGTCGTAATGAGTGTTTGCAATAGAGCACATTTCGAATGTATTCATAAATCAAGACATTCACCGGAAAAAAATGCTTCATCGAAGGTTTCAACAAATATGATAAATATGGGTCGAATCAGCAAACGATTTACTGTCCTGTTAGTTAATATTTATGAAAATAAAAAAAATTACAGATTTCCAGAAAATTTTTTAAAGCAGAAAAAATAAAAAAGTGTTCAAGTTTCCGAATTCATCAATTGCCGTTTAAGCCATGAAAGAAAGATAGAACATATTCCGAAATCCCGAAAGTTCTTTTTAATTGAAAAATTATGTTAAATAATTCATTAATATTGTTATTATTATTATTATCATTATTAATTGTCATTATCATTATTAATTATTGTTATTAATTATAATTATTAATTATTACTCCTATTCATTATTATCATTATTATTAGTTATTATTAATAGTTATTACTATTAATTATCACTGATTATCATTATTAATTTTTGCTACTAGTTATCATTACTATTAATTACTCCTGTTAATTATCATCATCATTAATAATAATTCTTAATTGTTACTATTAATTATTACTAATTGTTAATAATATTTATTAGTAATTATTATTATTAATTATTCTTATTTCGTTTATGCCAATACTTAAATAAGCACAAATAATTATTTGAAAATATCATTTTATTTGTTCAAAAATTGTTTGAGAAATTCATATTTTAGAAATTCTGTTACTGGGAAGCCATCAACGACATTTGCAATGCAAAATAATGTTGAAGAAAAAGATATTTCCAATATTGATAATACTGAGGAGACTAATGAAGTTCAGATATTAGAGGTCAAGGTTTAAATTTAATCATTTGACAAATCTGTATAATTAAAGTTTTAAATTTTAACATATTTTACATAGTTTAGAGGAGCAAAATTGTTGCTAAACAAAATGAAGATAAAGAAAAAACGCAAAGATAATGAAATGAGATGAGAAAAGATTGTTTAAGAATAATAAAATAGTAAATTAGCCAGATATTACAAAATATTGCACTTTCATCATATATGTCTACAAGTGAGGAAGAAAAAGAGAGAGAAATATAATGTTGCAATTAAATGGTAGAGAGTGATAAGATTTGCGAAATGCAATAATGTGAAAATGATTAAGGCATTAAGATGAAACATTATAGATCAGACAATTTGAAAATATCGGGTATGGATTATTAAATTTCTAATATTTTTTAATTTTAATTTTTTAATTTAAAATTTTTTAATTTAGTTTATTTGTTTTAGCTTATCTTAGCAGAAAACGAAATGTCAATTATGCATTAATTTTAAAGCTATACGAAAGAAAAAAAATTTATAGTTAACGAAATGTTTATTGATTTATTTTATAGTTAAAGAAATGTTTATTGATTTATTTTTTATCATAAATGTACAATTATTAGTACTGATTACGTATAAAAAATGTTTAAGTTCCTGATATCTAAAATATTTCAAATACAAATTTTTGTGCAATTTTATTTTTACGCGATATTCGATTTAAGTAGCTTTTTTTTTTTCAAATAAAATATAATGAAGTAATTAATTATCGATGAATTCAATGCTTAATTCATTTAATATGATAAGTCAAAATATAAATTAAAATTTGTTGAATTACTTTATTATATTTTAATTTCATCAATAATTCATAATTAATTAATTACAACTTTAGAATCGTAAGAAATATATTTTGTGAATGAAAAAATTTGCAAAATTTACACTTTTCTTTTTAAAGCAATAATTTCATAAAATACAAAAACTAAAAATTCTTTTAGCGTCAACAAGAGAATAATGTATTTGCACATGATCATATTTATGGTTCACCATCAGATGTTGCATTACTTCGTTATGTGGAAATGTTTTCATCAGTGGAGAAAATTCGAATGAATTATATTGTATGTTAATAATAATTTTATTTTGCAAAAATTTCAAGTAATTATTTTTAAGATTATTTTTTCAAGCATTTATTATTTTTTTTAATATAAATAATTACCATATAATATATTTTAATATTGAATAATATAGTATAATTAAAATAATATAATATACTGAAATGGCAAGGGTGCTGCAAATTATAACGGATATATTTCAAATTTTTTAATTTCTTCTAAATCATAATGATAATGATAATATATGATATGGTGATGGTAATGATAATATATGATAATAACAATGATAATGATAATAAATGATAATGAAATACTTCATAAATTTTTATAATTAATGAATTTTGCAACGATTAAAAAAAAATTGTGTAAGAAATGGATAAAATATTTTTTCTCTTTTCTTATTTTTGCAGACAGTTCTTGATATGCCATTTAATTCGGTTCGTCGATATCATTTAGTGATAGCACGTGATGTTACGAAATTGTCGAAAATGGAAAAAGATGAGGAAATAATGAATGAATCAAATGATGGTGCTATTTTTGTAATGATGATTAAAGGTGCACCAGAAGTTGTCCTAAAATATTGTACTCATTTACGTGTTGATAACGAATGTTTACTAATTGATCAAAAACTTCGTCAAGAGTGTCAGGTAAATGCTCAAATATATTTTTGTAAACAATAAAAGTTTAGCGAGGAAAAAAAAACTTTTTAAATGTCACATTTTTTTTTAGGTATGTAAATAATAAATGTTTAAGCAAAGAAATAAAATAAAACTTCAAATAGGATTTGTTTTTTCAATTTTTACATTTCCGGCAGAAAAAAAGGAAACTTTTCTAAATGATGACATATATATATAATTGATTGCAATTAATTAAATTAAGCATTTTCTAGCAAAAGAAAAACAAAAGAATTTCAACAAATACTTTCAAATTTGTTTATTAATTTAATTATTATATGAATAATTTAATTTTATAATTTATATTCTAAAGCAAGCAAATAAGAATATTTTCCTAATTTTTGTTTTTGCAAAAAAAGTTTTATTTTTAGGTAGCCTGGGAAAATTTTGGAAATGAAGGAAAACGAGTTTTTGCATTAGCTATGAAGCGTTTTTTTAGCAATGATGCAAATGCTAAATTTACATCATCTGATATCATATTGGAAAATTTAACATTTTTAGGAATGACAGCGTTAATTGATCCACCGCGGTTAAGTTTTTCATTTTAAATTTTTTCTTTCAAATTTTTATTTTGCCAAAAAATATGATAAAATTATTCGTACGTAGTTCACAATCAGGTTCTTTTTAACATAGAAGAATTGAAATTTTGGCAAAAATGTTTTTTTTAAATCCTTTCAACATAAATTGTTTATTTAGGGATGATGCAGCAAATGCAATAAAGCAATGCAAAGAAGCTGGCATTAAAGTTTATATGATTACAGGTATGATATTTGTATTTTCTTTTTCTTTAAATTACATTGCAATTTATTCTGTACAACAGTCAAATGAATTAATTGCAAAAAAAAAAAAAAAAATTGTAGAAGTGGAATTGAAATAAGTATTTCTAATGTGATCAGCCAATTGATGTATCATCGTTTATTATTTGTTAAGCTTTAGATAAACAGAGATAATGCCTGAATTTTAGGTCTGTTTCTAGAGAATCTCTTTAGATAATGCCTGAATTTTAGGTCTGTTTCTAGTTCCATTATTAATTGTCAAAATTATTGTTACCATTTATGAATTTACTTAATTGATAGCTATTAATGAGGTTATCAAAAAATTATTTATTGAAATATCAATAAATATTTTAATGCATATTTATCAATTTGTCATTTCACATACTGCGAATCAAATAAACTTTTTTAAAACATTACCAATTATCTAATTATTTTAATTAGTTTTTTATTTTAATCTAAAAAATTATCACTGCAAGCTTTTGTAGTCAATTGATAACAATTAAATGAAATTGAATTGTTATCAATTACAATTAGATTGAACTGTAATTGATAACATTTCAACTTTAATTAATTGTTATCAATTAATTATAAAACATTGGGATCTTTTGTTTGGTTATTTTGTAAACGTCGTATGAATTTTGTATGAAAGAAAAAGTTAAAGCTCGTATTTTCATAAATAGAGACATGTAATTTAGTGAATCGAATTTTATTTGAACAAAGAAAAGAAAAGGGAAATTGATAATTTTTACTTCTAATATTATAGGTGATCATCCGACAACTGCGGTAGCCGTAGCTCGAAAAATTGGTCTTATTAGTATCGGTGATGAGATGGTATGGTTATATTTGCAAAATAATTTTGATAAATAATTCTTTCATCTTTTTTTTTTCTTTGTTTTTTTCATAGTACTGCTAATAGTAACAGAAATATTCACATTAGTTAGCTTGAATTATTAAAGCATTTAATTATTATTATCAAAGTTAATATTTCATGACATTAATATTTTGGAAAAGAAAGAATAATTAAATGGTTAAATTGAATTTAATTTTTTCTTTTCAAGTTCAATTTCTTTTTACCCTATAATTAAATTGGGTTCAATTTCTTATAATTAAATTGATTTTAGGGAATAATTAAATTGAATTCAACTTCTTATAATTAATTTGATTTTAGGTTGAATTCAATTTCTTTTTCTTTCTTAAATTTAATTGCTTTCTTTTTTTATTTCCAAATTTGAAATATTTTTTGCTCTAAATTGTTTAATTAAAATCATTTCATTTCAAAGACAATTGATGCTGGTAAATCAAAAATTTTTGCAGTTGAATTTGAAATCTTTAAATCTAATATATAATTGAATTTGAAATTGTCAGTATTTTATTTTGCAAATTATAAATTAGCAATTTCATTTATTGTTAATAATTTTCATTCATATTCCTAATGAATTACTTAATTATATTTTTAATTTCCAATTTTTATCATTTTTTGGCGAAGAATTCGGTTTCTTTCTTTTTTTCTTCTTTGTATTAATCATAATTGGAATGATAGGTAAATCTGACAAAGTTATTAATAAAGTACATGAATGTTAATTAAATGATTCATTGATTAACTACCAATATATTAAATTATAGGTGGAGACAAGTGGTCGTGATCATTTAAAATTAAGTGTAGTTGGTGCTAAACAATTAAATTGGGGTATTGCAGTAGGCGATGATTTAGATCGTTTGGATGAATATGGCTGGAATGAATTACTCAAAAAGAAATATATCGTTTTTGCAAGGTAAAAAAATTTACATAAAAAAGTTAAAAAAAGGAAGAATAGAGGAATTGTAATAATTATTGTTCTTTTTTTAAATTTTCAACGTTTTATTGAAATTGTAAAATTTAGGATAAATCCGCATCAAAAATTTCGTATTATTGAAGAATGTCAAAAACGCGGTGAAATAGTAGCTGTCACTGGTCAAGGTGTTAGCGATACAGAAGCTCTTGCATGCGCTAATATCGGTATTGCTATGGGTATTACAGGTGATGTATATTTTTTGTTGCTTTTAGAAAAATTTATTATGAAATGGAAAAAAAAATCATCTTAATTATATTATTAGCTAAATAATTAAATATATTAATGGATTGAAATTAATACATACAGGTAAAAATTATTATTTTTGATATTATTTTACGGGAAAAATTACATCAGTTACATCTTTTATGATATTGTTCGGCTGGAAAACCTATACATAACCTAACTTGTATTGCTCGCTAATTAATTAATTGAACTAATATAATGAAATAATTTATTACATATAAATATTTTACAATTGAATTTGTAATAGTATTACAAAAAGTAGAATTTAGTTTTAAATTTCAACACTTCTGAAATTTTATAATTCCTAAAATTTTGATAAGTTAGAATAATTTTTATTTCATTCATTTATTTTCAAAAATATTAATGCATTGTTGAAATACGAAATAATGATATGAAATGAAAAAATGATAAATAGTGCTGTAGATTATTTGAAATCTAAAGTATACAGATGATAAATATGATAAAGTGATAAAAGTGATATAAATATGAACGTGCAATATTTAATGAATGTTTATTTATCAAAAAATAAACCTAAATAAATAAATTTATTTCAGGTAGTGATATAGCAAAGCAGACAGCAGATATCATTCTTACAGATGATAATTTTGCATCAATTGTCAAAGGTATTGAAGAAGGACGTTTGTTATTTGACAATTTACGCCTTTCAATTGCATATACATTAGCTCATCTTTGGCCCGAAATATTTCCAGTTGTCTTACAATTTACGCTTGGTTTACCATTAGGATTATCAGCTTTACAGGTTTATCAATTATTGTAATTAATTTTGTTAATATTAAAATTAAATATTATTTAAAATAATTTTATTAGCAATAGATTTATTAGCAATATAGCAATAGCAATATATTAGTATTTAACACTATTTTCTACAGTATTTTTTGAAACATAATTTTTAATTTTAATTTAACAAAAAGTTAATAAATAAATAAATAATATTAATCATAATTATAAATAATGATAAACAATTAATATTTAATTTTCTTTAATTTTTTTTAATCTATTTTTTGATGAAAATATTGTTTCAGATTTTAAGTATTGATTTAGCAAGTGAATTACCGCCATCGATCTCGTTAGCATATCAATCACCGGAAAGTGATATAATGCGAATTCCTCCACGGCATCATAATGATCGCTTGGTATCTCGATCTCTTCTCATTTATTCATATGCTTTTATTGGTACAATCATTACGGTTGGATGTATTGTATCGTTTCTTCTTGTTTATCGGTAAATAAATATGAAGTTTTAATTAATATTGACTTTTTTGTTTTTTTAATTAATTAATATTTTGAAGTACTTTATTTTAATTTTTTCTCACTTGTTCATATGATTGAATTCTTTTTTTAATACTAAGAAAGCATATGTTGTTGCCTGCTAAAAATATTTTTTGGATACAATACGGCGATTTCCACATCCCATCACTTCTCGACCATGTATCTGTCATATTATGTGGTATTGCTTGTGTTGCCGCTTCGTGTCGCGCAAATAACGGT